CGGAAGCTGGACAAAGAGCTAATAGGTAAAAAAGTTCATTGCTTTAGTTATGAAAGAGTCATTTTCCATGCTGCCTACAAACAGCACTACATTTTCCTTTTCAAATTCCAACTATATCTGAAAAAGTAAAACCGCCAAATAGGAATCTGGAAGATTTATGAGAATTCACCATACAATATATAAAGTAAGACCACCATACAACTCTCTGGAAAATGTATGAGGCTCCACAGAATTCACCTTATAATTTTAAATAAATTTTGTTATATCAAAATTAAATCGGCCATGAACAAAGCAGTTGTACTGTGTTTTCATATACTTATACATATCATTATAAGACATTTCTGTTAATCCGTGGAGAATTACATGTATACACCCCCCAAATCGACAGAATCTCCTTCGGTCAGCATGTGCTTAATTTCCTATGATGACATTCCTTAGTGATGATGCTTGCACAGAAATATGTGCATCATGGCACAGGTGGTAGAAAGGTGATTATCCACTTAAGACAAAGGGGTTTATTAAACAAAACAGAACAAAAAAAAACTCGAGAAATCATAAATTGAGCAAGACCAGAAGTGGGACTAAGAAAGCAGACCTACAAGCAGAGTAACATTCAAAATGGCAGACTGTGGAGCAGGACAACAGCAGGCACTTAAATACACAAATAATGAGGACTAACAAAAGGCAGGTGTGAATCATCAAGACAATTAAGTAATCAAAGAAAAAACAGGACAACGAGCAACAGGTGAAGCTGATTAACAGAACTATAAGCTTATCAGACATCAAAACTAGGAGACCTAAATTAGACACTAGTACTACATGCCAGGAAAGAAACAGTAGGAAGATTGACTCACAGCTGAGGACTAACACTCCAACAGATTACAGCCTTGGTGCCACATGCTCAACCCACTGAGTTATGTGGCAGCCCAGTGAACGAGGAAAACACACAGAATGGCCAGCAACACCTGCTGGCCAAACAGGGACCGAACGCGCAGGACAGGGATGGATGGGCACCGACCCTGATACTCTCATCATCAGTAGACCTTTCCCAGTCCTCACTTTTCCATGCCACTTTGCTGAACTTAAAGTATTTCCCATGAGCAAAATACAGAAAATTGTGTGAAACTGCAAATATTAACCATTTTTTTTAATTCTGAAATTCTTTCTGAAGACACGACATAAAAATAATGTATACAATTCCTCCTGTAGTAATTATTGCCTTCCAGTGTAACTTCAATGGCAATGGAAGATTTAGAGAAACAAATTTTAGGGTGCTTGAATGCAAAATACAAGCTAACCTTAAACGTGTGGCTTGAATGTAAGGTGTGTCACATGCAGGTCAAATTAGCACCAATTCATTGGAAGTGAGGCTTATGTACCTTTATTGCAAGATGGCAAACAGAACCATGTGACCTAGGAACTTTATCGGTGGATGGGAGTGGAGGCAGGTTTAACAAAGGCAGCAGTAGGAATGTAAATAATACAGCTGCCAGTGTCAGTGGGGGGGAAAGTGCTGAATGGGTTACAGGTCATGGAATGGGTTACAGGTCATGGAATGGGTTACAGGTGAGGTCAGGTATCTGGGATTGTGCACGTTTGCAGCCAAGAACACACACACATCTTGTTCAAGCCTTGGTCCAATGTCATCATAACAGAATATGACCAACTACACCGAAGCCAGCAGCTCCTACTGGCTTGCTCACTTGTGTTTTTGGATTGTGATTTACTCTGATTTGCCTACTTGTGTATGACCTCTGTTTGTTGCATGGTAACTCGCGTTTTGCTTTGCCACTGATACTATCGCTAACCTCTGCTTGATTTTCTGTGTACCGACTTTCTAGCTTTGCATTCCGACTATGATTAAGCCCAGCCCTCGGCTTTGATGCTTTCAGAGAGTGATTGTGATAGACTCTATGTAAGGAGTGACTGCCGTTTGTTTTTGGTCTGTTTATTCTATGCATTGGCTAGGGAGATTAGCAGAAGTGATTGTACTTTTGTTTTTGTTCAGGAAAGGTATATTAGATTTGTGGCATTAGCTTGTTTGGTTTGTTTTGCCGTGGGTCACTCCGAGTCCTGTAAATACATTGTTGTGCCATCAATTTTTGTAAATACTGCTGTACTACGGGACTCGTTTGTTCTGTTCTGAACAAGCACACACACACACCGACACACACACACACCCATTCTGTTACACCCCAAACACCTAGACTGGGGGATCGTAACAGAATTTGGGGGCTTGTCCGGGCTACTAAGATCCATCTGGACCTTTGTGTATCATGTATTTGTACCATGGCCCGTTTTGACTTGGTGGGGTTTACTTTGAATCCCACCCTAGAGCAGTTCTACCGCTGCCAGAAAGATGACCTGCTGGTGATAGTGGGGTTCTTTAACGTGGTGGTCCCTAGCGGTGCCACCAAACAGCTGATTAGGAAGGTCCTGCAGGAGGAGCTGGTCCACCTGGGGATCCTGCCTGAGCTTGGGGATTCTTTGGGGGCTGGGGTGGCTGAATCGTTCCCAATGGCCTCAGGGGTCGATTCTGATGACATTTCTGAGCCAGAAGTCTGTGGGGACTTTGCCAATGTCAGCTCACCTAGGGAGGACATCCTGCTTACCATCCATCTCCACAAGTTGGAGCTGGAAGTAAAGAAGCAGGAGCATCAGGCCCAGCTCCTGTGCCTGTAAGCTTTGGAGGTTGAGGCGGACAAGGAGATTACCCTAAAACACCTCAGTTTGGAGCAGTAGAATCTGGTGCTGCTTCCATGCAAGGTGAGCTCCTCTATCATGGCTTCTCGATCTCTAGACCGGTTAGACCCCAACGCCATTAAAGTGTCTGTGGAAAGCCCTCGCTAGCGTTCTACAGGTAGTTCCTCCACACCTCAAAGTATGAGATTCTATCTTAGCCGTTATATTGGCCTAGTCCCTGTGTTCTAGGAGAACGAGGTAGATGTGTATTTCCCGATCTTTGAGCACAATATCACCAACCTGGAACGGCCGATAAAATTTTAGTCGCTGTTGTGGCAATGGAAGCTTGTGGGAAAGGCTGAGGAGATTTGTTCACCTTTGGCTCTCAAGCAGAGCATGGATTATGAGTTCTTGAAGGTAACTCTACTGAGAGGATACAAGCTCCTGCCAGAGATTTACCGGTAGAACTTCCAGCAGCTCCATAAGACCACCAGCAAGACTTACTTGGAGTTTACTCGTGAAAAGGTGGTGTTATTTGATAAATCGTGTACTGTTAGTGGGGTTACTGACCTTGAGCAACTTAAAGAACTCGTGTTGCTGGAGGAGTTCAAAAATTGTGGTCAACTACTTAAATGAGCAAAAGGTGACCTCTCAAGGAAGCAGCTACACTTGCTTTTGAATTTGACTTACTGTGGAAGTGATGTATTGGTGCAAGGAATTAGTCTTTGGGTTGATGCCATCCCCTTGCATGTGTATCTTGGGACGGACAATTTTTCACGGTACGTAAGGGTAGCTGTCCAGCCGCAACTTCATGGAGTTACTTTTATCCTGGGGAATGACATGGCACGAGGCAAGGTTGTGCCTTTGCCTAAGGTTGTTCCCAAACCCGAGCTGTGCCCTATGATGTCACTTAAGAATACCCCACGTTGTTTCCAGCTTGTGTCATGACCCGTGCTCAACACCGCAAGCTTGCTGACATTGACTTGTTGGGTACCTTTATGATCAACCCCTCCTCTGTGAAGTCCCATCCCCTTACTCCCCTTGACTTTGATGGTAAGGACCCTTGGGCTGTACCCTACAGTCGAGAAGCTTTAATTGTCACTTAGGAAGCCGATGCACACATGTGGATGCCATAACTAAACTGGGCACATTTCCCCTCCCCAGGACTGAGGATTGCGTTGGCCATATCAGACCCGCTCGCTGTGTCACCAAGCTGGACCTCCTAAAAGGTTATTGGCAGGTGCCCCTAATGCACTGGGCATGCAAGACATCTGCCTTTGTCACGTCAGACACCTTCCTCCAGTATGCTGTCATGCCCTTCGGTTTACGTAATGCGCCAGTCCCGAATTGTGAGGCATACCTCGCTGATGTTATTTATTCTGATACGTGGAATGAGCACCTAGACACTCTGAAACAAGCGTTCCTCCTGTGACTACAGTAAGCTGCGCTGGTCTTGGAAAAATGTCATTTTGGGTAAGGTACTGCCACATACAGTATCTCAGAAAGTTAGTGGTTCAGGGGACTGTAAGACCACTCAATGCCAAAGTTCAGGCTATTGAAGCTTTTTCAGTGCTTACAACCAAATGGGAGCTTAAACGTTTCCTGGAATAGCCATTTATTATAGATATTTCTATCGCATTTTTTTCTGATGTTGTTTTACCTCAGTAGTGTGTCAGTGTAACGGGACTGAATATTCTCGGGCTCTTAATTGGAAGCTTCAAGCTTTCAGATTCGCTCTAACCCAGTTGGCTGGCCATGATGATTTGATCAAAGTCACTCAGGTCTTTACCCCGTGCTCAATTCTTCTGTATTCAACATGTCATCTACAAGTACCGAATGTTAGCTTCTCGTCTCATATACTCTAGACCCTGACATGTATCGTTCTTGCAAGAAAGTTAACATTTTTCACATTAAATGGGCATGGTCATGTTGTTTTGACTCATCTGTATATATCACGACATGTTAACTCATATAAATAGTCAGAATCAATTAACTGAATTCCAATTCCTTAATCTCCAGTTCTGTTTCTTGTAGTTTTTGTTTAAAACCATTACCATTTCTTTGTTTGAATTGGAATTGTTTTCATTCATGATTGACCCCCCAACCCTGATCCACAGTCCCATAACCTTTCCTGTCCCCACCTGACCTGTGTATGTATGTAAAACTCCCTGCCAACAAGGCAGGGCTCTTTCCGTATTTGCTTACTGGTGCACTATGAGCCCAGCTCCTACTAAACCCTCTTCCCCCATTCCCCACGTCCCATCATTCTCTCTGCCATCCTCCATGTTTTGAGATGTACAAGAAAGACATCATCAACACCCAGTAAACAAGTAATTTATTCACCTATTCATGTTAACAAACTGAAAGGCAAGTCATCTATCAGGGAAAATATTGGATGTACACAAAAATTACACAAGAAACTGACACAGTGACTTCACACATCAGAAGCATCAGCTTTTGCTCTCCTGAGGTGCTAATGATTGTAGCTAGTAGCCCTGGTGACAGGAAGTACCCCAACAGTGCTCCACCCCACGAGTGCATCACTGTTTGCCATTGCCATTGATGGGCAGTTTCTTATAGGAGTCAGACTCCATGAATGCTTTGATTTTAGGACGGACAGCTATCTTGTCAACGTAGCTCTTCAAGGCGGGGAAGCTGTCTAGGCAGGGAGGGCTGAGCACCTTCTGGTTAAGCAGTAAGTCAAACAGGTTGTAGTCTGCGTAGGACATCT